TTAATTGATTAATTTTTAAAATTCACAAAAAGAAACAAAACAAATACAATTTATATATCTCAATTGCTATATTTCTTCAAGGACTGTATTACTAAAATTATTCAATCCATGCAAATGATTATCAAATAATTTTGCTTCAGTTATATATATCCAAGTAAAACATAAGGAGAAAGTAAATATTATGAGATGTTTGACAGCTTATAATTGTAAACCAGTTTACCCCCTCCCCACCTCTTAGCATCTGTCACCCCCTGGTGACCTTGGGAATCAAGGCCACCTTTATCATCAAAGATCTTTCTCATTTTCTACATAGTAATACATACTAATAAAAAATATGTTACAAGTAGCGATGATTGTCCAGAGATACTGCTTTTCCCCCCACTGCATGCCTTATATTATCACACACTGATAAGCACAGCCAACTAGGCTTATCAGCATTGTCATACAGAGGTATCCCAGGAGGCACCTCTCTCTGTGCTTGATGGCTGATTAGGATCAGTGCATAGTGTGGCTAGATGCATTGACTTAGTTTTTTCATCTTACACATTTCTGTCCAGCTTCTCTTGTGTTTTTTTGCTGAATCAGCAAATTTTGGAGTTAATTTATTTCAGGAAAGGAAAAGTGCATTTCAACACATTAATAGGTTTTAAAGTACTTTTATTTCTTTTCTGGATATAATTACATTGGTTGTATACTAATTCGCTGGAGGGATTTTGTGCTTGTTAGTATAAGCACCAAAGGTATGTTTTTATTACAGCAACATATTTTGTTGCAGAAACTGCTTGGGTTAATGCATTTGCATGAGAATAGTGATGTGCATGCATTTTGTATAATAGATTCATATATATTATCTTAGTTTTGACTCATCCTGTTTTGGCAGTTTTTGAATTTATATGCTGTCAACAATCAACAATAAAGGTCTTGATTTATTTAGATGGTTTAAACTTCAAAGTCTCAATGTATGAACAAGTTCATTACTGGTATAATAAAACTTACCTGTGGAATGGGAGTCTTTAAAATACAACAGTCATGCAACCTTTCTTAAAACAAAATACAGTCAAACCTGTGTTAAAGATCACCTCTGACTACAGATCATCCTGTAAATAAAGGCTACTTTTGGAAATTCTTCAGAGTTTAAATCTAACATAAGGGCTCTAAATAGACCATTTAATGCCTGTAAAAGTCATGTAAGGTCTCTGCTTTGGATGGCCTTTGTACACATGTTTGACTTTATATCAAAGCTTTTGCATCTGCTAAATTGCTATTGTGTAACTATGATGTCACAACAATTCCTTGCAAACTGACAGTTCAAAATTTAGTTCAAAGATTAAAGGCCCTTTTTGATAGTGAAAGACCCTAAGTATTTGTGTATGGATTTGTAATCCAGGGGTTGTTCTGGTTTGATCTTGAGGCCAAGTGAAAGTTCTCTGAGATGGAAGTTCTTCGTGACAATTTTTCTTGGATGTTCAGTTTAAGTGTCATTTTTCTCTCATTGTACATAATAGCAATAATCAGCACATTAGCATAATTTCTTTGATAAATTAACATTTTGTTCAAGCTGTCCTCATTTTTAGCTTACGAGCTATCCAGTTTAACTGACAATAGGTAGAGTGTTGGACTGTGATTCAGGCATCCCTGGCTCGATTCCCCTGAGGTACAGGTCACTTTCGTTTTGATTGATCATGAAGTCCTGTCTATGGTCATTTGCATTGTACCTCTGCTCTGGCATGCACTGAAGTTATCAGTTCCTTGAGAAAATGAAGGCAACTAGTACTGGTAAACTGTTTGACAGCCTGCTCATGAGGAACGATGTGGTGGCTGAAACTGTGCTCTAGTAAGTTCAATGTGGTTTACTCAGACATGGTGCTGAGTAAAAACTATCAACATGACCACTACCACTCATTTTTAGCTCAAACTTTAAAAAAAAATTATATTATAATCAGTCTGGCCTGTATAATAGAACATTATATTAGTGACATTATAGGGCTTATCAGTTTTATGCTGGGTTTATTTGATGGATTAAGACACAAAGTTGATTTGCCTCAGAGAATGTGCATGCTGGTACAACAATGTATATTATAACAATGTAGATTGTTATGATTACTTATGATAATGTAATCATTATGTTCATCTTCTATAAGCCTTATCTTTCCAACAAGTTACTTCACGCCATATGTGAGGGCTGTATAGACAGTCTCCAAACCTACTTTTTGCATACTGGAAAAAAATAAAACAAACAGTGTTGAAATAATGCACCAGCCGGTGAAAATCCATGCCTTTTCCCATTTGGCATAGAGGAGACTTTGAAACTTTTTTATAATCAAACCTAAAATAAAGACCCTCTCCATTCAGGGGCTGGTCCAAAATGTGAAATCCCAGCTAAATGCCCCAGCTTTGCCAGTTGAATACAGTCAAACCTGTACTAATCTTCACCTGACCTGAACTGCCACAAATTAAGGCGCCCACAACAAAAATCACTCTTTTTTTTAATACATCTGTTACACTATCTTGTCAGTAAAAATGACTTAGCTTAATGGATGGCACATAGTATTTTATTAAGTGCCTGAAATCTTTCTAACCATCACAACAGCTTTTTTTGTGCTTTATTTGCTTTTTGAAAAAAATGTCAGCTTTATTATTTCTATTTTGTGGATTTAATGAAAAAAGAATTTCCCTGATGAAAATTTCGTAAATGTTATTTCAACAAAATTTCAGTTTTCATTTTATTATCTTATTTGAATGATTATTATTATATAAAAATATGTAAAGTTTATGTTTCTTAGTGATTAGTACATGTATGTATAATACAGTGCAATCTCTGCAGAATGACCCTCTGTAGAGCAATACACGGATTGACAGTTTCCGAAATTGGCAGACAACAGGCTATTCTTATCAGTGGAATTGCAAGTTGCGTATCTCACTAGTATATAAAACGTATGTAAAATGGTCTGACTTTTGGTAGGTTTAACCGTAAATTTAAATACGGTACCTTGAGTGTTGGTTATTTACTTAGTTCATATAGAGACTGTCAATGGGTGTATTACCTCTGTACAACAGAAGTTTAAATTTTTTCCACTATAAATTTAACCTGTCAAGAACAACCCCTCTCATCAACAACCAATATCTTTACTTCTCAAAGGTTAATGAAGCTCGACAGAGGTTTTGCTGAAGTCATTCTTTCACATTTTATCATTTTCATGAAAGTTAATTACATGCATTTCCTATCTAACCCTCCAAATTTTGCACACACGGATATGGGCATTAAGTCAGGGCTTCCGCTTATTTCCAAAAACTGGAAGTCAGAGACTGCAAAATGTCTGACACCAGGAAGTCACATTTATAATATAGGTAAAGAAGAAAAAAGAATAATATTCTGGATGTCTCAGATCAAAAATCATGAGTAATTGACCCCCAAACTTCCACTAAAGGAAACCCTGTTGAATGTATCATATCCAAAGATTCATCAGCTAATACATGATTGTAATGCATGTTTTCTTAGGGAACATAAGAATTTGTTAAAAATATTTTATTTTATTTTATATTGTTACTGTTAAAAGAAAGGTCACTCTTTCTGTGCTTGTTTAGTTTTGGAGCTTTCCTACTGAACTATGGACTAATTTATGCTGGATTATTGACATGTCATGCTGAATCATGGATTTATAATTGATTTATTATCATGAATAGTTGTGAACTTATTATACTGAGTTATGGAGTTACCAAACTGAATTATACAGAAGGCATTTAACTCCCTCAGCCATGTTAAGTTAAAGTTGTTTACTTTGAATCCCTGACCCTTAGTGCTGTGGACTTGAATCTTAACAGGGACGTCTTTCATGTGAGGAAACTGGTATTCAGCTAGATTTAATAGGTCAGTGGTGCCTGTGCCTGAAATCACCATGAAGGAGCACATGAGGTCTTCCTACTGGAATGTTGCCATATGACCACTGTCAGGGTGACTTAAAAAACCAAACCCTCAAAAATATATCATGAAGAATTATGGACTTACTATACAGAGAACTGAATAATTGGATTTACCATGCTGAATAATGGAGTTAATTGTTAAATTATGTATTTCATCATACTTAATTATTATCCTGAGCTATGGCCTTATCATGCTTAAATAAAGAATAAAAATACTAAATTATGGATGTGTCATACCAAACAATGGACTTACTATGCTAAATTATGGACTTATATTATGGATTCATTATAATACTGAGTTATCATGCTGAGCTATGGCCTTATCATGCTGAAATAAAGATTAATCAAAGTAAAATATGGACTTATCATACAAAATAATGGACTTACCATGCTGAATTATGGACTATAATACTAATAATTATTGACTTATCATGCTGAATTATGGACTTATTGTGCTGAAATATAGGCTATATAATCATACTAAATTATGGACTTATTTTACCAAATAAAGGGTTTATCATGCTAAATTATGGGCTTATAATAATATTTAATCAGGGACTTTTAATAATATGCTGAATAAAATACTAATTATACTAAAATATGGACATATAAACTTATCATGTTTTATTATAGACCTGTCTTGATGAATTATAGACTAACCATGCTAAATCATGGACTATAACGCTTAATTATGGATTCATCATGCTATATGTAAGTTGTTTTTTTCAAAGTTTATGTTATTTGGATTGGAGCTCCTTTAACATACTATTTTGTCACCATAGTGCAGAAATGAGTTAACTCCTACTAAATTAAACATGTGTTAATCCATTACTGCACGAAGGTGACAAAATGACTGCGTGTGTTTATTGACCGACCCTCTCTCGATACCAATCTGAATATGTAAGATAATAGAACAAATTAGTCAGATAGATACAACCTTGCTGATGGTATAATTAGTTACAGGCAGTCTTTATGTATATGAGAAAATATTTATAATCTTTGACATCATTCCCTACAGCTTATATCTATCTACCTTCAGTAACCCACATTCCCAAGAGAAAATATATGCGGGATTCCCAGTGGGATCCCAATGGAATCCCGAATGGGATTCCACCGGGATTCCACTGGGATAAAATAATGGGATCCCGACCGGGATTCCACTGGGATCCCGCCAAATCCCAATTGGGATTCCGCAAAATCCCAATTGGGATCCCGCCAAATCCCAATTGGGATCCCGTCAAATCCCAATTGGGATCCTGCCAAATCCCAATTGGGATTCCATTGGGATCCCGGTTGGGATATCCTTACAAAATCCAAATCTGGGATTCAAACAATATCACAGTAAAAAAATGCAGCATAGCTTTTTCTGACAAAAAAAAAAAAACACACCAAAAAATCAAGAGGGTCATATGCTGGTAAAAGATAACAGATGGACGCCAGACAAATTGTGATCACAAGAGCTCACCTTGTCACTTTGTGACAGTTGAGCTAAAAAACATAACAAAAACTGGAAATACTTTTACATGTGTGATTAGTATTTAAAAATTGTACATCTGGGTATTAAAAATATTTACAACATGCTTCATCAGTTTTTCATTTCTATTATCTATATATATAGTTTTTCACTTTTTGCATTTATATTTGCCATTTTTTATTCCTCGAATCTTATCATTCAGTTTATAAACAATCTTCTCCATCCACAGTTTGGACTTCTCCTCCTCTGACCTGTCTAACAGGTATCTACTGAAAATCTGACCTGAAATAGATTAATAAATAAAAATCACTTTAAGCATAGATACCAAATTCTTTATCAACGTTCAAAATTTAAAAACTCCTGAAGCAACTAGAACTCCGGGAGTCGGATATGTCGCCTTGTGAATAATATAGTTTAGGAGAAGTGGCCGGGACAAAAATGAAATATGAAACTAACAAAGGGCAATAACTCAAAAAATAATAGGTGCAGAGCAGCAGTTTCTGTGCACTGCACTTCTTATCAATAAGATCAATCATTCTATGAAGTTTCAAGTCCATATCTTTTATAATTTATGATAAATGGCCTGGACAAAAATAAAGTATGAAAATTAATAAAGGGTAATAACTCAAAAAAAAAAAAAAAAAATGCAAAGTACCAGTTCTTGTACACTGCACTTTTTAAAAAATTAGATCTATCATCCTATGAAGTTGCAAGTCCATAGCTTTCATACTTTCGGAGAAATGGCCCGGACAAAAATAAAGTATGAAAATTAACAAAGGGCAATAACTCATAAAATTAGAAATGTAGAGTACCAGTTCTTGTGCACTGCACTTCTTCTTAATGAGATCTATCATCCTATGAAGTTTCAAGTCCATAGCTTTTATACATTTGGAGAAATGGCCCGGACAAAATTATGAAAATTTACAAAGGGCAATTACTCAAAAATTAAGAAGTGCAGAGTACCGGTCCTTGTGCACTGCACTTCAGGTCATTGAAAGAAGCATGCATACCAAGTTTGAAGTCTATCCGACTTACAGTGACTGAGCTATGCTCCGGACAAGCTTTGGGGGACGCCAACAAAAGTAACCCCTATTATGTCGCCTTTCCAAGGCGGCACAAAAATGTGCGCATCAATATCACTATATAATGATATTACATTAATGTATGAATAGGTTAATTTTAAATCCAATTAGGTTCCAATCAAATTAAGCTGCTAATTTTCCCACATTTTCTCTCTACCATTAATATAACAACCCCCCCCCCCCCCCCCCAAAAAAAAAAAAAATCTCAAGGGGCCTTTGCCTGATGGCTGTAGGAAAGAAATATATATAAAGACTTATGAAGGAAATTGTTTTCTGAGCTTTTTGATCTAGTCATTGAGATGAGAATGATATAAATAATTCCTCTTACTTCTTAAAGCCCTTCTTAGGTTTGGGGCCATTTCCCTCTTCAGTTTTCCGTGCCCATAAACTGTCATGTTCTGACAGTCTTCCTTGGTCACCAGGAATTCCAGTAGATTGAGGGCCAACTTTTCAGGTGTGGAACTCATTTCCAAGCACCTATTCAGCTCCTCTTTCCTCAGTTGCACCCCATACTTCGCTTCTCCCAAGTACACCAAATCTAATGATTGAATAAACAAAACAAAATCTTTTTATCATGTAATTCTTTCCATGCTTACATTAGTTGTTTGAAATATAATTACCCAAAATAAAAATAAGAGCCATTGAGAACCACCGCCAAACAGTGGCAAAGCTTGACTTTTTTACTTTTTACAATTAAATGGTTTAAATTTAACAAATCTTTAAAAAAGAAATTAAAGAAAATGTAGAGAAGTAAGTTTTTTAGCTTTCTTTTTTTATATTTCAAATATCTGTCTAGTCACACTTGTTTGTCCAAGTATTATGACAACTTAACCCAAATTCAATACTTTGGCCTTGACAGTCAAGGTCATTTAAACCTCGAGGTCATGGTCAATGGCAACCTTTCAGAAGGTCATGTCCAAAGAACAACATTCCTACCAAGAACCATAACGATAGTATATTCCCTCTTATTGTCAGGACAAAGATAACAGACTGTAGGCACGCACTGGCCAACCCCATCACAGGATATTCCCCACTTTTTAACATTAGAATAGAATATGCAATAAAAAAAAATCTCACCATATTCAGCATCATCCTTTTTTGGTTCATCCCCTGCACAATTGTAAGGAAAAAAAATCAAAATCATATTAATTTTAAATGAGACAACTAAAACATTTATTAACAAACCAGCAAAAACTTTTAGATTTAGTATAGTTGTCATAGAAATATAGTTGATACATGTATTAATTTTGTCTAATGATATTTGTCCTTCAACACATGCACTCTTTAATTTTTTTATGTGGTGAAGGTGAAAAATAATAGGTTAATATCGGTACTGAAGTCAGGAAAACTAATTATGAAAATGCCTTAAAGTTAATTAAAAAATGCCTTAAAGTTAAACACAGAATTAGTTAAACAATGTCAAATTAAACCTTTATGAATAAAGTTACCAAATAATACCTCTAGCATCCTTTTCCTCTGCTATTGGACTCATGTCCATTTCTACTAATTCCGTCTCCAAAGAACGGACAGGTGGAGTGCAACTGGTCTTTGGTGTCGACACAGTAACTGCCATGGTTGCTTGGGAAGTTGTTGGTGCTTCAGATAATGAATCATCTTCTTTCCTTGCAGTTTTTTTGTTTCCCTGAAATGTATACAAAATACTTAAACAGTACTAGGCAATGAATAAGAGAAAAGTTTCTTGTTAAATGAAAATATGACTGGCCCTTGACAGGGTTTTAACCAACATTAGTCTGACATGTTGACTTTCCATGCATGACATAAACATTTAATAACAGTAATTACCTTATACATTAACCTAAGGCACTGGTTACATTGAATGGACTCCAACAATGGCTCAATCAGGTTAATCAAAGTCTCTTGTTTATCTGTAATTCTCTTTAAGTCTGACTTCACTTCAGCTAAATCAGAACTTATTTGATCAACCTAGAAAGGTAACAATATGTTACAAAATTTCTTTTACAGAAAAAAGATATTTAAACAGACAGACAGAACGACCACAAACTTTTGTCAAACGAATAAATTTGACGAATAAAAAAACAAAAAATCTATTTGAAAATTAAGAAAAATAAAAGCATGCAAATAGCCATCTGCTGCAATTCATTACCAGAACAGTAGTTTCATTACTTCTTTTACCCAATTAATTACTAATTATTAATACAATTTAAAAAGGGTATATGTTCATAAAAACACTTAAAAAAAAGCTACCTTAGCACTCAAACTTTGATCTGGTCTATCTGGAAGAATTTCCAAAGATTTTAAGCTTGAAGCTTCAGACATGACCCTGTCCTTTTGCCTCTTGAGCTTTGAAGCCTCCTTTTTAGCATTTTGTGCCTATGAAAAAAGAAACATAACACTTGATGAAATTATGCTTTTCCTAAAAAGACTTCTAGAATAATATGATTTAACACAACCAGTTTTCTTATAAAACTTCATTGTAATAAGAAACAGTTACGCTCAAAATATACCATGCAAATGTCCATTGCATTTCACTAAGATACACATTGCAATGTGATATGCAGTATTGGCTATATGGGTTTGCTCCTTTCAATAATAGTAACTTTAACATGCTATTAATTATAATTAAAGTGACTTTAATCTAGCCTTCCTTTTACAAAAAGAGTTTAATGTTGAACAAATTTTTGTGTAACAATTTTTTTTTAAAGTACCTGGGTCTGAATATCTTTCATTGCAGGCAGCAATGAATCTAAGGCTTTCTTTTTTGGTATCACAGGAGTTTCTGTAAAGGAAAGTTATGTTAATTAATTTGTTTGCAATATTCAGTCAAATACACAGAATACTTAAGACACCATTAAAAATGGAGGTTAGCATAAGTATGGCCATCAATAAAAGGAAATGATATTTTGATTATTATTATTCATCTTAATCAAAGTTTGCAGAAGATGATGTAATAATTCAGACTATTATTGTTTGATTAAAGTTGAGATTCAGCCACCATTCTTTTAACACTGGCTATAGTTATACCATATTTGTTTAAAAATACATTTTGTATTAATTTTATTTTCCACAACACTTCTATATTCAATTAATCTTGTACAGGTGTGTTGCTGCAAGAAGCTACATTTCGCCAATTAAATGTATTTCTTATCAACTCCTGCTCTTTTTTTGTGTCCAGACAACCAAAATGAGTTTTATAAGTCTATGCAACTTATGCAACCTCATTGTGGCGAAATCAGAAAACAATTTCTGTTTGCACTTGAAATTCTGCCTTTGGGTCATCCGTAAACCAATAGAAAATCAACAAACACGGCTTTAAGTAGCAGTCCTGTATCAATAGTAAATTACCGCATTACATAACTGATGTTTTTAACCAAAATTAATTCTTTTTTATGAAACAATTACTTTTTAATGATTTACAGGGCTAACACACTGTTTAGCGTAGTTTGTTTGAACAAGAAAATCTTGTTTTTGCTGTGTTCCAGATAGCAACTATTTATACTGAATGTAGAACATACATAAGTTTATTATAGTCCTAATTTGCCTGTTAAAATTTGTATACAAACTTAAGTGTTACCTAGGAATTTTCCTTTTTAAATGATAATTTATGAACAATATATAAATGTTTAAAAGGATTTTAAAACTATGAATGCTTGTACTTTAAGCAGACAGAAACATATTTTATTTACAACTTTGATTAATGGATAAAAAGGAAGAATACAAAGAAACGGCACTTCAGCAACGGCTAAATGTGAACAAAATTTTAAAAAGGATCTACTGGTTTCAAACTTATCTGGTCCTTCAGCTTTAATTAATGTTTATTGATATACATGTACCTGAATCTTCAACCAATGTAACTTCAGCATCTTCCTCGTCATCAGAAATTGGTGGTAGTGCTGTGGCTACATGCTTTCTTTTTCTAAAGACAAATAAAGATCAAACTGAAAAATGTGCCGAGCTCTAAGAATATTACAAAGGCCTTGAAATAAATAATATTTAGGACGATGTTCAATCCAATATATATAAAGTGATTTTCTGTAAATTTAAGGGTGTACTTCAAAACCTGTTGTTCCTTCAGCAAGAAACTTTATCACTTAATGCTTAATACTAATTGGTTCCAGGAACAGATTTGAGAATGTTTCAATAAGCTTATAACTTCCAGCACAGACTGACTAATTTAAATTTGAATAATAGACTAATTGCTACTGATTGAATGATCCTCTTAGAGCTCAAATACTGTTCAAATGGTCCAAAATGACTTACAATATCCTGTAATCCTTAAAAGATACATATCAACAAAAATATTTGAATCACTTACATGTATGTAGATAAGGTTAAAATACACTTATCACAAATTCATTTTCCTGAACAATTTTACTCACCTGCTTTCCAATCCTTTCTGTTCTTTCAATTCATCTTTTTCAAGTAGCTGCTGAACTGACATTGTTTCTCCGACACATTCAGAATCAAATGCTGGTTTCATCCATACTCTTTCTACAAGACTTTTGAAGTCATTATTTGGGTCTTTGCCTTCAATGATGGCTTGTAAGAATTTCTTTCCAGATTCATCTAAAATTCATAAAGTAACATTTAAGGAAATATTATAAAATTCCAAAGACACTAGTCTGACTAGACTATGTATAGTGATGAATAATAAGTTATGATTCAGATACACACAAAATAAAAAAATAATCCTGGTAGGAAAGACAATCCAGACACTAAATCACATTTTTTTGCATTTACATAAATATCTTGGCCAATATCTTCATGTATATTTGCAATTTTAACCCACCAAAAAGAACTTCATTTTTTAATATTTAAGCCTATGATTATTTATGTTTATCTTGTTAGGTAACTAAGTGTTCTTTGTGTTTCTTTTTTTTAATAGGCCTGCATTTCATCATGTTTTTCACCTCGAAAATGAAAAAAATGCATTATAATTTTAACAATAATTATGGCTCGACTTGACAAAAGGCCGAGAGGACTTACCGTTCAAATTTGTTTACACGAGTGTTGATACAGGTAAAGCTCATTGAAAGTCAAATAATTTAATAATAACATGTTAAAATTTGTTATAGCTGCATAATAACTGAGATGCTACAAAACAAAACGGCTTAAAAAATCAGCATTTGATAATCTTATTTCTTACCAGATATTTTACCGAGGACCGCCTTTTGCAGACCGAATCCGGGACATTTTGCCGTCACTTCATCTTTCTCACGATAATCCGTGAGTGGTTTTCTTGGTTCAACAATGTTGGTAAGGTTCAGAACGTTTCCAGTCACAGGATCGTCATTAATCCATACAAAGATTCCAAAATATTTTGAAGCTTCCATTTTTGCTTTGTCTACGTTCGCGCTTTCCTTTCCTAT